GGAGGGAGGAGTGCCTCATCATCATCATCATCGAGGGACAAAGGCTACCTGAACTGACAGAGATCTTCTTTTCTGACCAGAGCCACTTTTTTGTCACTCCCCACCACCACCTCCTCGGTGCGCTGTCTGTTTAGTGTGTGCTGGTGGTGTATGATGGGAGAAGTCTTGACCCAGCACTGGGGGGCTGTAACACTTCACTGTCAGCGCGGCTGATTAGCTTATCACTCACCGCACTGGGAGGAAATACATCATCATTCCAGACAGGGATTCCCCAGTTTAGGGGCCCGTTCCCTGCCTTCTTTTACTCGGCATTTAATCACCAGACTTCTTTGTCCCCTCCAGTATTTCAGCCTCACCTCTAAAACCAATCCTTAGTGGTTTACCACGAGAGCTCGCTTCCTTTCGGGTGTGTTTTTTTTTGTGTGTATGTCTGAAAATCAGAACAGCTACAGTATTTGCTCTTCTTAAAATTTGGGTCGGAGACAGTGTTTCCAGACGCAGACATTTTCTGGAAAGCAGACTGAGCCATCTTTCTCAAATTATTCTTTTCAGCTCACTCAACAAAGAAAGTGAAACACAAAGTGGCAAATGTGCTTTGGCTTCCCCACAGTGTGGTATCAGGTATGGTAATTACTCTGCCATTAACATTGGGAATAGTTAATGTGTATTAATGTGTTAATGGCATGTTAATTACTGTACATGCTAGAGAGAGCCCGCAGGCATTCTCTCAGATTCTTTGTGCCATGTGGATGTAGGCCAGCCTTAAAAAAAAAAAGCCTTTAAGAACATCGATGAAAGAGGATCCTTATGTTTCATTTGTCAGAACAAAAGATTTTCAATGGTAATTTGATCCAGCTCCCCGCTTCTGGAGCTGAAGGTTACTGATCCAGGCGCCACGACAAAGGAGATGATATGAAGTCAAAGGAGACGTGGAACGCGGCTGTAGTGACACTGGCCTCTTTGTGAAATGGATACTCTAAGCCCTCTGTAGTCTCTAGTGTTTTGCTTTGGCAGCGGGTTTTAATAACACGGTGGATTAGAAGCCCTGGATCCTGAGTGCCAAGCTCGAGTTAAAACTCACCTTGGACGAGCCTCAGTAACAGGCTAGATGCCACGGTCCTCCTCCTCCTCCTCCTCCTCCTCCTCCTCCCAGACGCTAGCCTCTCCTCACACTGTCTGCTCCACAGCTTTAAGAGAGATGACCTTTGCAAATATTGACAGAAAATAAATTCTGTTTCGATTAGTTAGCTTTGGGAGACCTTTGCAGATCAATGCAATTAGATGAACAGAGTGTCGATACGTGGCCGGAGCCGTTCGCTGTGGAGGCACTGGGTGGGAGAGGAGCTGCAGGAGGTCAGGGTTACTTGTAATGAACAGGATGTTTTGGAAACAGCGGTGGAAGTAACAGAGTCGCGGGCGAGATCCCGTTACTGCTGCACAGAACCTTTTACTATCTCAAAAAAAAAAAAAAAAAAAGCATTGAGATATTGAAAGAAAAATGTTAACAAAAAGAGGAAAAAAAAAAAACGCCTGGCTTTATCTGCAAGAAGCGCTGCTCTTCCAGTGTATCGTCTGCCGTCTGACAGTGCAGTCAGTGCAGCAGAATGAGGTGAAGCCCAGAGCCACCCCTTCCCTCTTCAGCAGGCCACATTAACCCAGCAGGGCTCTGCCTTTATGGCTCTCCTGCTCACACTTCAGTGATGAGAGTAAACAAGCAGCGGGCCAAAGGTCAGCTAAGCCCACAGAATAAAAGAGGGCACAAGGGGAAAAAGAGGTGGGAGGAAAGGAGAGCGGCCCGAGGCAGTGCTCAGATCACTGTCAGGGCTTCAAGCAGGGAATGATGTACGAGACAACAGCCCCGAACCGGAAATGATTATAAACAGAGAACAGGGGAGAGTATATGAGAGAAAAGGGCTGCATTGTCTCTATCTGTCAAATTTGTTACTTCCTCGGATCAGATAACGGCAGTGAAACCTGTAAAAAGTGAAAAGGAGAACCACCCCTGACTGATAGCGATGGATTAATCACACTGTCTCCTTTTGTCTCAGCCACAGAAGAGAAATGAGGAACAATCATATATGCAAGTGCTTTTTTCCCACCTACCCCACCTGCATTGTTGAATGACAAATGAGGCCGATTAAGGACATGTGACATTATTATTATTACAATTTCGGACTTTTTTTTTTTTTTCTTTCTCTTCCCTTTTACATCATTAAATGCGTTCTGGTAATTAAGTGAGCCGGCATCATCATCAGGCCTCTGTGAAATGGCTGGAACATGTATAGATTTTTCATTCTTAAGTTCCTGTTGCTCGCAGGCTTTACCAAGGTGACACGACTCCTGCACTTTCCCTTTTGCACCGAGATTAATCCCACTTTGACTGTGGAGGTGGATTAGAGCTAAACTCGGGTGCCCAAACTTGTTTTAATACCCATATCGTCAGACAAAAACAGGATAAAGATTTGAGCGAGGAAAAGCAGCATTGCAGTGCTAGAATGTGACTGTGGAATTGCAAGTTACTATACAGATTTGTCAACCACACAGCAAATTAAAGATATTATCTCGCCCAAGCTTATATTGTGGAAGTTGTGTGATGATGCCGAGCTTAGGCGGCGAATCCGCAATCTTTAGCTCCTCCAACAAAGGTGCACGGAAAGAGACAGCGTGACAGAGATATGGTTTCTTATTTTTTTTTAATTTTTAGTATTTATGGGCTTGAGACGGACGCGCCATCCCTCCCAACGTGCGTTATGAATGACCAGCCAGAGCTGCTGTGGCACAAATACACCCTGGTGGACTCCTGCAGGGCCGTCTGCTTCTCAGAGCAGCACAGTAATCATTTTTATCCTGCTGATTTCCCAAATAGAAATGGACACGTATGATAAAAATGTCACGGCCACTCCACATGTCAGTGGACTAACAGGATTACGTGTCACTTTCTAATGTCTCGCTCTGTTTTCCTTTTGCTGTGAATGGCCACACTATTGCACACAGGAACTTTGTGGTAATATATGGTAAGAGACAAGTAGCTCTTTATGGCCTGTGATTATTTAGTTTGAATGAAACCAGTGATTTATGCCCATTTAGCTGAAAAGCCCTGTAAATTCCCTCAGCTGCATTTCCCCTGGATATAGAGTGAGTGGAGTGAAAGTGACAACTGGGTTTGGTGTGGAAATGTACGCTGCGTCCCAGAGTTATATTTAATATACCTGACATGAAAAACGTGCCTACCTACTTACCACCACCCGCAGCACAAAGGAAAGTGCAGCCCGCTGCGCTTGTGTTGAATCAGAGAGTGGGAGTAAATACTGAATTAGGAAAATATGAACCGTTGTGGCAGACAAACCACCAGCTATTAGAGCATGTTGAGATATGTAGCCAGGCATCTGGTCAGTCAACATTTGAATCATGTGCCATTTTGTTTCATGCTGCACAAACTGGAATAGAAACAGTCGAGTCTGTCCAGAACGATAGCTTTGGGTGGAGTTGTGCAAATGCAGTGTGATGTGGATGAGGGTTAGTGGAGCAGCGGCATATTGTCCACATGGATGGCTTGGCTCTGCAAAGCCTGATGGAGCCTTGTCCAGCATCTCAATGTCTCCAACACAAATAGCCACATTCATCCACTCCTCTCACACCATTACACCTAAAAGACTCAAAGCCAGCCGATCCATAAATAGAGGCAAATTTGTTTTTCAGTAGCACTGCAGTCGAACAAAACACCAACAGAGATGAAAACATCAGAGAAGTGGCCACAATATGTTTCCTCCCCCCCCCCCCCCCTTTTTTTTTTAAACCCAGAATTGTGTTTATAAGAAAGATATAAAGAGGAAAAGGAGTGTTTTCTCTCTAGTATTTACTCCTGTGGATGGTGCGCAGGGTCAGTCGGTCAAAGCATGGTAAAAGGGCTTCTCTGATTGCATGCCTACTGGCTGCCACAATAGAGCCACTAATCTTCTTATTTAGAATCCAGAGGCTGGCCATATCTTAATGAAGCTGTAATGAGCTGTTGAAAATCCCTGAATTGCGGGAGGGATTATTGAATTGAAACAACTCTGGTAATCATAACGTTCGAGTAGCCACTCGGTATTTACTGCCCATTGAGCCACATTTTTATCCACTTACTAGACTGAATTGCTTGAGCTTGTTTTTTTTTTTTGTTTTTTTTTTTTTGCTGTAATTCTGACCCGCAGTGTTTTTTTGTTTGTTTACTCTCTGAAAAGCCTGCCATTGTGCGGTTGCATTGCCAGCGCATCCAGGTGTGCATGTACGCTATCTGCTGTGTGATTACGACTCGCTGACAGGCTGGCGAGACAGAAAACCAGAGGAAATAAACAGCAGGAACTGAGAACAACAAAAAAAAAAAAACAGAATTCATGAATGAGCACTTTGCATAGAATTGATTCTGCACTCATTCTGCCATATGTAGATTTTCATTTCCCCGGCACATTTTTTTTTTTTTTATCACTCCTTAAAAATACTGCTAAATCAGGACTGTAAAATAGTACACTATTGAAAACTTACAAGCCGATAGAAATGAGGGAAGCAGTAGTTACTTTCTGGAGTTCCCCCAGCATTCACTGTGTCAAAGACAGAGACACTTACTAGAGGTATAGTTTTCTGTTTAGCATCCTTTCACAGAGTAGAAGTGCCACTTCACCATTGAGCATTTGTCAGTTTATGGATGTTGCTGTCATGTCAGCCTTCCCGTACACACAGTGTGCAGCGCAGTGTGTAAATAAAAGAGAACAGGCATAGACATGGGCGACAGGAACACAGCGCGCACACACAGGAGGCACTCGGTTCATACCTGCGAGGGAAACATCACAGTATAGCACACAATGCAGACATAGTGCCTTTAATTGCATTTAACAATTCAGTCTGGGTGTTTCTTTATTCGTAGTATTTATTTTTGCTTCAGTCTTGAACGTCCCCGAATGGCATCAGCTGAAACTGTGTCCCCCCGTTTATGTGTTGCTGCAGGTCTCAGCATCCGTGGCGCCCAGGAGGAGGACCCTCCAGACCCCCAGCTCATGCGTTTAGACAACATGCTGCTGGCAGAGGGAGTGGCAGGACCAGAGAAAGGTGGCGGATCTGCCGCTGCCGCAGCTGCTGCCGCGGCCTCGGGTGGAGCGGCCGACAACTCCATAGAACATTCCGACTACAGAGCCAAACTCACCCAGATCAGACAGATCTACCACACGGAGCTGGAGAAGTACGAACAGGTGAGGACGGGGCCTTCAGGATCCCACACCTTCCCAAGAACTGCTTTAGGTTTCTGCTTGAAGTAGCACACCTTCTCACGCAGTTTTGCTCTGCATCCACACAAAGAAAAAAAAATAGCATAAATGCATTTTTACTGCGAAAAAGGTTTAAATAACCATGTGACCACCAGCTGCTGTAAATTTCACTTCACGTTTAAATGGACCTATTGAATTGTACATAATAGTTCACAGGGCTTCTCAACACTCAGCTTACCCCGTGCATTATGAAGAAAATTGCAGAGAATATGTATGATGGGTGAGAATGTATTATTAGCTTGGAGAAGAAAAAAAAAAAATCTGCAGCGTTACTTACTGAGTTGTAGTTGATTATAGAGATCCAAAGGAGTGCCCTATTCATCTGTGTTAAATGAAAGTATGATCAGCTCCTTCACCTAGCACTTTGAGCCTGCCATTAAACACAGAGGCATTATGGGCGAAAATAGAAGGTGTAACAGTGATGCCTCAGCAAGCCAGTGAGGTAAATTAGACTAATTTACTCCGTGCTCTCTGAGAGAGGAGGTGGGTATGCGGGGGCACACAACACTTCGCCTGGAGTAAATGCATCTTTCTTAAGGGTGTTTCCAGGTTTTAATTATCTAAATGTAAATACTTAACGAATTTTACTCAGAGTAATGAGCTAAAGTGTGCACTACGTAAATGAGTTATTCTAATTAATCATGTATGAACTACTGGTTTAACGAAAAGCTGTTTAAATTCACTCTGCATTAAGGCCCGGCCAAATTGCAAATCTGCATTTATTCAAAGATGACTTCACCTATTATGTCATCAAAGTCACACGCAGACGGTGCACTTTCTTGAAGCTTTTAACACACAAAGAGCTTGTATGTAATTAACTCAATTAATAATATGAAAAATGTGCACAACTTTCGGGTGCCGGTTGAGCAGCCGGTGGAAGTTCTTATAAAACTTAACCCCATCTTGGCTGTTGTTTGTCGCTCTGTCTCTTGGCAGGCATGTAACGAATTTACCACCCATGTGATGAACCTGCTGAGGGAACAGTCTCGCACGCGGCCCATCTCTCCTAAAGAGATTGAACGCATGGTGGGAATCATCCACCGTAAGTTCAGCTCCATCCAGATGCAACTGAAGCAGAGCACCTGTGAGGCTGTCATGATCCTGCGCTCCAGATTCCTTGATGCCAGGTCAGTGAATTGTGTGTTTATGTGTGTATATATATATATGTGTGCGTGTGTGTGTGTGTGTATTAGGTATCTAGAAGCTTTTGTTGCTTCTGTATGACCCATTTAAGCAAATCCAGCGGGCGAGGTCATTTTTAGACTGCAGGTCTGAAGTTTCTTTCACTTTTCTGGCACAGCACACAGTGTGAGCACCGCAAAGATGCATAATTTTAATTATGTCCATGTTTCGTGCCTTATCCATTTTCAAGACAATCATGCCCTCACACCTGAGAGCAGTTAAGACCAAATGAAATGGGGACCGAGTCATGTGTAATGGATGGAGGGGAGGTCATCAGCAGGTGTTGTGGATTACTCTAATCACTAACAGTGTGGTGCAGCGTGGAGCTCTGTGGAGAGCGGCACAAGTTCAGGGCCAAACAAGCCAAGTGGAAGCACATTTGCTGCCCACTGCCTGTGTGAAGCACAGTAAACAAGGCAAAATAAGCAAATGCTCAACAACATGATAAGTAGTGCCCTTGGGAGGGAAGGGGACCCAGATCTAGTTAGAGTTTGCTTGTTTCTACTGGAGATCCCTGGGGCTGTGGCACTTCAGGAACAATGCTCAACTGTGCATGCCATGATTTCTATAATGTACCGAGATGCACTCCGACTGGGCTTTGCGCTCCATCACGAAGCCCACCCATCCGCTGCACTAAACTCTACACATTACACGCTTGGACTGGAGATTGGAGACCAACAGACCAAATTAAACATTGTATGTGTTTTGTGACTCTGTGTGTGTGCGTGTGTGTTTGTTTGTGTGCGTGTGCTTGTCAGTTTATTGGTCGGAGTCCTTGTCTTTTGTGTGTTGACGAGACTCTTGGAGCAGGACACGATATTCTGCTCCTGAGGGCCCTTAGAGCCCATTCCTCATTATTTTCACCATTTATGTGTGAGATTGATTGTGCAATTTGTGCAACCCAAATGGATGAGTTAATGCTGGTCTCACTAATAGGCTTGCTCGGCCTTTCTCTCGTTTTTCTCCCCACTCAGGCGGAAAAGGAGAAACTTCAGCAAGCAGGCGACGGAAATTTTGAACGAATATTTCTACTCGCACCTCAGCAACCCGTACCCCAGCGAGGAGGCTAAGGAGGAGCTGGCCAAGAAGTGCAGCATCACAGTTTCCCAGGTGGGTAGTGCTCATCTAACAGTAGCTGGTGGGTAATCAAGGTGGGAAAGGCTAAAGCCTAGAGGGATAGTTACCGTAGGTCACACCACCAAGACACAATGTCCTTTGCTAACCTTGACATTGTGACTGCCTAATGATGCTTCAGTCAAGGCTGGTCCCAGTCAGTCAGAGCAGGGCCACAGGGAAGGGAGACCTATATCATCTTAGCCTCAATCAAAGCACTATGCTGTCCTTCCTTAGCCAACCTCCCTCCCCCCCCTCCCCCAACGCTGGGTCCCCTGCCATTTTTCCCTCTCATTCCCATCCACCATGTGTGCTCTCTCTGTTGCCTGGTCAGTCGCTCAGGTCATAAGCTGGGAAGAAGAAGAAAAAAAAAAAAAATGGCATCATCCATTACTTTAAGAAAAAGCAGTTAAAGTGCGGTGCTTCAAAACACCGGATGATACTGGGTATTTATTTGTATGTTTGCTCTTCAAGTGACCTTGCAGGAGTCTGCTAATTCACAGTTATCTTTTACACTTTAAAGATGCGACTTTCCCACTTTATATATATCATAGTCTCCTCGTTGGGTAAAACCTGAAGGCAATATCTCTCACACCTAACCCTCACATCCAAAGTATTATTATCCTGTGCTCTCTTTTTCTGCTATGATTGTGACTACTATCTAGATTTTTTTTATACTCTATTGTTCTATGGTTGTCCTCATGAGACACAATATCAGAGAAACATGAATCTATACAATAATCTGCAGTGTTTTGTCTGTGTGGGGAGGGGGTGATGAGGGGTATATTGAGTGTAGTCATGAAGAGTCAGATACTGTAAAAGCCCATTCTTTTTTGCCTTCAGGGGGTGGGAAGCACCATCACAGTATCACAGGTATGTCATAACTTCTCCTGATCCACTGTTTTCATTTTTTTGTACCTCCTTTGTTTATGTATGTAATAGCCTCACAGTTTTCCACTGCACAGAACCTCCCTCCCTCACACTTCTGGATCAATGCTAATGTTATAAAATACAGTATTTGAAGTTTCAATTTACATTAAAAAAAAAAAAAAAAAAGTGGATAAGATGTACCAGCATTTTACATCCCACCTTTAAGTCACACAAGCCCACAGTCTACTTTTGATTGATTCATATTTTTTGACACTACACCCATGTTATCACCATATTATTGTGTCTACAAATGTGTCACATGTAATTTTACTTTCCGGCTCTTGTTTGCCACATTATCTTTTTTTTTTCTGGTTTTGTTTTGTTTTGTTTTGTTGTAGAGCGTTGACTAATTGTGTGGTTTTATTTTTCCTCAACCTTCAAATTGCGCTCTGAGTTCGGTTACCTCCCTCCCACCTCGTGATCGCTCCGTGCTTTGCAGCGTTTAAAGAAATGACCAGTGGCCTGCGCAAATGGAGCTCCACTCTGTTTGTGAGTGAGTGCCTCCCAAAACAGGGCCACTGTAGCAGTTCCCATGAGAACAAATCAGTCTATGCAGAAATTAGAGGGCTTTTAAAAATTCACTTGAACTCATCTCAGGCCCCATTAGTGGCGTACTCCTCGATAAGCGGAGGCCATGGCAGACATTCTTATTGACTTATTCTTAGTGCTTTGGCTCATTTTAAGTGAGTAACAAAGTCAGAGGCTTGACATAATGCCACATGCACCGTAAGTATGTTATCCCTCATCGTGGGCCAACCTTTCAGAATCACAAATGGATCGCTGTGGTCACACTGAGGGTTCAGCTAAGTAATTTTTCAAACACCCCCAAACTCTTTTTGCGGTGCTTTGTTGATTGCACAAGTAGTTCATTAAGTAAACACCATCCGTTGTGAATGGTATGCCAATATCACTCTGCAGCTTTGCTCGATACATCATCGCTGATGAAATACCCTGCGTCATTTTCGCAGGGATCATTTAAAATGTATGTGATGCACAGTCATCTTCCCTGAGAACAAACCCACATTCTTGCAGTTCGGATGCAGCGTTTAATTCAAATGCCCTTAAAACGCTGCAGTGATAACTTTTACCTCGCAAAGTGCTGAATGAAGACGTTGTTATCTGACCGTTTCGTGTGTCTGATTTGATTGCTACGTCCTGTTTCTTTATAGCAAATAGCGGAAGTGCAATGATGTATTGACGCTGTTAATATTACCTAAGTGGGTCTCTAAACGCGGGACCTTATTTCCTCTGCGACTTTGCATGTGCATTGCAATGACGGCATGGCATTGGATGGTTGTGATTTGTATCAGGATTTCCAGATGCTTCAGAGGCCACGTTTGATGTAATCTGTGTGACTGGGACACTGCGTTCAATGTTCAAACCTGATTCAAGTGCAGAGATAAATTTACTTTGCCTAAATGTGAAGGCATTTTTCTTCTGAGTGACACTTTTCAATATTCAGACTATTCATTATTAATGCGGCGCAGTGACAGCTTTGTGTTTCGATTTAAGGCTTACCATGGGGCAGTATAAGCTCAGATATGATCATAGAGGGTCCGTGCATTGCCATATACACTGACGAGTGAACAGTATTGACCTGAAATAGGGTGAAATAGTTTGAATTATTAACTACAGCGGCAACAGCCTCTCTAGTGGGCAGCAATGAAGGCAGTGGCACGTCCTTGCAAGGAGTCTGCATGGTCATTATACAAGCGCTGCCTTTGAGGCAGCTGATGTCGGGTAATTCAGTCTCACAACCTGTTTCTCACCAAACATAGGAGTCAATTGAATGCATGGCCTGCCACGAGATAAAAGGGAATTAGTTCTGTAGATTGGGTTGTGCTCCACACCTTACAGTGCCGTGCATTTGTTCAATATTTAGCTGAACCCAAGAATCGCTAAGGCCAGAGTTCAGTGGGCAGGAGAGAAATGTGTGTGCACAAGAAGATTTGATGCCAACACTGCTGAGTCTGTCCAGGCTTGTAACACCACATAGTAGTAGAGAGCAGTGTTGCTCTACAGAGGAGAGAAAAGTTAGGAAAAGTTATGTTTCAGCTGTCGATGTTTCATGAAACAATCTGTCACTTTTGACTGCAGAATTTGCGTGCATCATTCCTGTACTGGTGAAAGTAAAACTAAACTAGTGTGTAGTCGGTATCTATTAAGTCACACTTAATGATAAAATGTGTCTTCATGTACAAACACCACAAGTGGCTACAACTGACATTTTAATAAATGTAGAGCTGTTTAATACACTGTTTGTGTGAACATTTTGTTAAATTAAACAGACTGATGAGCTTTAGAAAACATTTTCTATGATTTTCAGGGGTTTGTGGGCACACAGTGAGCTGTCTAAAAGAGCGAGAATATTGCATCGTCTTTGGCTCTACAATCCACTATAAGCAGGTTAAGTAAAAAGGATGATGGCCAGGGCTTTCATTGCTTCCAATTAAACCTTGCTTGTTAGTTTAACCTCTAGGTAAACCCATCAAACAATTGATGTCAAGGAAACCCTGCCAACAGTGGGCCTCGCCTGAATGGTCATTAATTTTAATTGCCTAGATATTAAAGATTTAGAGCACAGAGACGTGCAGGATAGAAATGATCTGATGTCCTGCAAATCCAGTCAGTTTTTACGCCACAGCATTGGCGGGCTGCTGGGGATATTAAAATTTAAGCACATGGGTGGAAATTAAATAAAGCGTCATTAGGGGCAGCTGCTCTTTGGCTGGTCCAGCCGTGGGCTGCAGGGCCTGAGAGGGGGGCTGCAGCACAGCGACAAGACACTCTAATTTATAGGACCATTAAAAACAAGCATCATCTCATTATTATTCCACTGTTATTGCAGAGCCAGCATTCACACATAAGGTTCACCCCTCAAACAACTTTTCAACGTCTGATGTTGGATGTCATCATTTCAATTCAACAAAATTAACATTTCCAACTGCTCTAAATCTGAATATACCCAGTTTCTAACCTTAATTTGATCTCAGTTGTTCCTCGTGGCTTCAGAGTTCCACTTTACTTCAGTAAAACAGAGATTTGTTTAACACATCAGTTAACACTGACTGCCCCAATAATGCGTTTACTGCTTTACATGTCTGCAGGTCTTTGCCCTCTAACACTTGTTTTTGATAATTGTAAACAAAACTTGCTTTCCAAATCAGCAAGCATGCATGTACACACACACACACACACACACACACACACAATGGTTTTATTGCTGTATTAATGTTTTATTTTCAGAGTTACAGCGCTGTTAATTAAGGATTTATTATACAAGGATGTGCATGCTTAAGTAAGAATTTTTGTAAGATATGGACAGTCAACAAAGCTGTGCAATATGTTCCACTATTTATAATGTTTTTGCTAATTTTGACATGCAGCTTTACATGTAATAAACAACTTATAGCTCTCTTCATTCTTTGCCCTGCAACATTTATTCATTTCAGTAATTGTACATTTGCATTTCCATAAAGTGTCCTGGACTCACTGATTTTGATTCGCTCAGCAATCTTTAGAGAATAGAATATGTACATTCATATATTTCACTGAGGTAAATGTCAGAATTCATATCCTTAACAGTCCTGATATGAGCAATATATATAATCCACTGACTTTAGTGTCTGTGCAGTAGGAGCCCCTTGTGTTTTAGTTTTGTCAGGAGACAGATCTGAGAGCATGTCATGCTCCCATCCATGAGAAGACACAAGTGGCTCCTGATTATGGCTTAATTAGCTTGTGTACCCGGCGGACATTACTGCAGGGGCTGGGAATTGGGTACTTGATGGACCCAAACATGACATCTTGAAACAATCACACTGCTCAGTGCACGGTGCTGTGGCTGCTTGACGTCTGACTCCTCTGCTCCTCCTCCTTCTGCTCTCCCACACAGGTATCCAACTGGTTTGGCAACAAAAGGATCCGGTACAAGAAAAATATCGGCAAGTTTCAGGAAGAAGCCAACCTGTATGCCGCCAAGACTGCTGTAAATGCAGCACACGCTGCAGCCGCTGCAGTGCAGAACAGCCAGGCCAACTCCCCTACCACACCTAACTCCGGTAGGCACTCCTGCATATAGACGAAAAAAAATAAATAAAAAATCTGCCCTCTACCTCAGCCCTTAACCCGCTGCCTGCCTGCCTCACTCTCTCATGCACCATTCACACAGGCAAGAGTGACAGGCTCTGCTCCCAGCTTGGGGATCACAGTGTCTCCTGTCTATAAGACAGTTGATGCCAAGCAAACTCATGCATAAAGAGAGCGTTCCTGACTTGTGAACCGAGAACACATGTATTTTTGGCAAAATAAGAAAAAAAAGAAAAGAGAGAGAGAGAACGAGAATTCACAATGATGCCATGGGATTTGTTTTCCCTTGACTTTCTGTCAACTTTCTGTCATTTGTAATGTAATGGTATGTAGTCCCACTGAATGGTAAAGGTTTTGTTGCAAAATAAAGTGAAACATAATTGCTGGGAGCATTTTACCTAAAGTGATAGTGTTATATCAAAATGGCATTATATGCAGTTCATATTGAGTAATACAAAAACACAGAGCCTAAAAAGGGCATGTTTAGTCCAGTTTAATGAGTAATGTCATGCTGAGTTTGGACTAGGTTGACCTGCGTCGGGATGTGGTAAGCTTATGAAGTGGTCCCTTTTTCTTGCACCCAGGATTCCAGATGAAAGATGAAGAGTTTCAGCTGGATTCTGCAGAGAGCAAAAACACTCTTTTAAGCAACATGTTTACTGGTACTGGTCTTTTCATAAGCTTCTTATTGTCCTTGTCATTTACCATGTGATACCTCCCTGCCAACTTGTAGATTGGAAGTAGGCGATGTGGTACAATTGGGAGCTTAAGCGACCAACCACATGTAGAACCGGTCCCCCTTGTGTCATGTGATGTTCATTTCATTTGTGTCCACCGCATTCGTACAAAGACCTCCAGTCCTTCCGCATATCGTCCTTCTTCTGTTTGGTTTTTCTTGCTTCCCTTCCTTCACCCCTGTAGTTGCTTGCTTTATGGGAGTCTTTCTTCTGTGCATTTGTCTGCCTGAGTTGGGTCTGTTCATGCAGACTCGTGTGTGTCTGCGTTACTCGTGCGTGTGCGTGTGTGTCTGTGCTTTCCCTTTATAGCCCTCTCATGTATTCAGCTACTTACATCTTCCCTTTCCAGGTTCTTCAGGTTCTTTTAACCTCCCAAACTCTGGGGACATGTTCTTGAGCATGCAGAGTCTGAATGGGGATTCTTACCAAGGGGCACAAGTCGGAGCCAATGTACAGTCACAGGTAGGATCAACAATCAGGGGCAGTTCCTGACAACCAGTGCAGAGAGCTGTCCTTGTCTTGCCTGTGTACTGAGCCATCCACAGTGCAGTCTGAAGCACATTGAACCAAAAATAGAAAATACAAAAAAAACAACAACAAAAAAAAACACGCTGCTCATGCGAGGGCAGTTCAAATTACCAAGTGAGGTCTCCGATAACATCCGATTGACTTAAGTGTTTACTGACTATTTCGCTTTGGATGGAATATTTTGGCAGCCAAAATATAATCCCACCCCACTGCTATCATGCCACAAAGCAATTTCCTGGTTACTATTTCCAAAAACGTTTTGTGAATGCATTTGGCTTTGACTTGAGCTCTTGGGTTGGTATTGGGTTTTTGGTACTATGTTTTCCCCCTTTTTTCTGTACTCTATATTGCTATCTTCCTGTCTCATCTTGTTATTGTTTGTTGTTGATGTCTTCCATTTTGTGAGTTTAACGCAGCTACACAACCGGCACACACTCGCTACCATGCACTTAAGAAAAACAAAAAAAAAAGGCTATTTATGAGTCAGGTAAAAAAAAAATAAACACTCATTTAAAGCAACCATAGTGTATGTGTTATTTTTCACTTATATTTTTTTGTATATTTTTATTTTTAGTGTTATCAATCCATAGTTATGACAGGAGAAGTGATAGATTTAAGCATGCTAGTAACATTAGTAGGCTTTTTTTTTTCTTTACTACAACATCTATTAGTTGTTTTATCTGGTTAGTGCACCTACTGACTCCTTTTTTCTTTCTTTCTTTCTTTCTTTCTTTCAAATTTCACACTAGTTAGTATCTTTTGCTTCACCGAGCATGTTTGCAGTTAGTGTTGGACTGCTGCGAGACACCCAGTTGACCAGCTTGTCCACCTTGTCTGTCCCTTCAGGTGGATACCCTGCGCCATGTTATCAGTCAGACGGCAGGATACAATGATGCTCTGGGGGGAAACACGATGTATAGTCCACATGGCCTAAATGTAAGTAGAGCTTTTATGAGAAATCTATCACCACTCGTTTTCATCAATAAAATAAGCTGCATGGCTTTATTTTAATTTTACTTACTGAAATTACAGAGCATTCCAAAGCATGTGCGCTAAAATATTAGACAGTGCATGTCATCACTTTGCCACCTGATCTGAGTAAAAGTTGCATTTAATAAAGCACATTACGAGGGAATAAGATCGCCGGTTCCACTTTAATAAACATCTTTTAATACTTTGTTTGACTCGTGCTAAAAATGAGATGAAAAAAAAAAACGAAAACGGGATGTTTCGCCGCTCCGTATCTGTTGCGTTTTGGCTGTTTTGAAATGCTTCACAGAATTTTCCATACACTTATCTTCATGATAAAATATGAACATGTGATCGCCCGCAGCCTTTTCCAGACATGAATTCCATCTTCCCTGATGAGGTTTGATATGGCGCCTTTTTGTAAAGCAGCGCATAATCTGAAGCTATCAGAGTAAAGATTAATTTCGTTGATGAGAGAGGATGAAGAGTGAGGGGAAGAGAGAGAGAGAGAAAGAGAGGGAGGAATGCTATCAGACAGCTCTCTCTCTCTCTCTCTCTCTCTCTCTCCGTGCACTATATAAGAACTGCAGCATTGGCTTTCTTTATATTGTAATGCCTGTTGGGTGAAACGCATGCATATTCACCGTCTAATATTATTTAAAGCTCAAGCGTCAAAATAAGGTATTACATTTACAGGAATGTAACAGAAAATTTAGAAAAATGATTTGTGTGAAACAAAATTAACATGCTTTATGTAAACAAATGGTGCCAGCGTTCAATGCCGCTTGGTGTCATTTTGGCTTTGCTGTAGCCTTCTTGCTATAAGCTCTTTAGACATGTCAACTCCTCGCAGGATCAAGTGTTTTTCACTTTCTCACAAGGTTTCTCACTTCCATGTGCAGTGTAGACCTGTGCCTACCGGCTCACCAGAGCTCAGTGTGATCCCTGCTGAAGCATTAACTGACAGCACTGACTAACCTTAACACATGAAAAATGAGGATCAGAACAAAAGAGCAATGCGGTAATAAAATATGCTGAACAACAAATTGTGGCAAAGCTCCTATTTTTCTTTTTTTTTCTTTTTTTAAAGCAATAACCCAGAAATTGCCTTGTAGATATATTCGCATAGACTAACCTTTAGCTTTGTTGGTGGTGACGTAGAGGGATCCAGTAAAGGCTAGGTCACGCCTGGAGCAAAGCAAAGTCAGGCTGGCTAAGACTGGCTCTCTTGGAGAGGCCCTGCCTTGTCACTTTCACTCAGCTCTCCCCACCTCACGCGGCCCAAGCCCTCCCTCCTCTTGACTGACAGGAGAATATGTAGCGACAAGCTGTCGGTCGCTGCCGAAATCTGCTTAGACACTGATTTCAGGGATTGCTCCCATTGGTCGGGACACGAGACAAATTTGTTTCTGAGAGTCTCTTTGCTGATGCTACTGTAATGCAAAGACTGGACTAATCACACAGCATCACCGCATCTGCAACATTTTAATATCAGCTGACACTTTAGAGCAGCCAGAATGCATTCTTCCCTCGTTTTCCCTTCTATTTTCGGAGTGTCTAGAGTTTACCAGGCTCATGTTGCAGAGTATGTGATTGTAATCTTAACCTTTTCCCATTTGTGTCCCAGGCTAATGGAGGATGGCAAGATGCAACGACTCCGTCTTCTGTAATATCTCCAACAGAAGGACCTGGAAGTGTGCACTCTGATACCTCGAATTGATCCGCTATTAATGCATCTTTTGCCTCGAGATGGGCATGGACTTTCTAACTGGCCGACCAACTGAAGAGGATATAAAAAGAAAAAAGAAAAAAGAAAAAAAAAAACTTTTCACAAGAGATTGGTTTTCCTCTACCTTCAAATTTCCCACGACCATGCCGCACACATGCAAATTGCATCCTCCATTATGAACACCAAGTGTTTCCTGATCGCTCAGTGTTTTCTTTCTGTCTTCATAAATCAAGTGTAATCACCACGCTTTTTATTTGTTTGTTGTAGGGGTAAACACATACACATGTACAAATAGAAACAGCCCTCAGATGTTACTGAGTAAACTTTCAGGATAATTATCTCCTCTGAGCTCAAAAACTGGATGACACTCGTGTATTGTCCGTGATATTTTATGACATTTTAAACGGCCATTTGTTTGATTCTTGATTTAGTTACCACTTTCCATTTTGATAATTGGGTTGTCCTTCAGTTCTTACAATACGTAGATTAAAGCAGCTGTTTCTTTGACTGTAATGTGCTCGCAGTCTTGTCCAGCAACTCAACAATGCTGCTGTTGACAGCTCAATGGCAGCTTTGTAGTTACTTTCAAGATTTATTTTTGCCTTACAGCTGTATACATTAGTACAAGGAAATGACTATTCAAACTCTGGAACATAAAGAAGTGTAATTGATTGCTTGACTATAACATGACACCATTCCATATTTTATAATTTGATGTTTAGTATGTACATATGTAAACATTTTTTTTGTACTCCTTATGGAAATCAACATTTCCCCCCACAGTAGATCATTCCGTCGTGGCACACAGGAGCAGGCCCCATTACACAGGAAAAGTTGTACATAATATAGCTTAAGAGTAATTATACATCCCACCAATCAATACACAGCTTTATTACCTCATTCATAGAAACCAATAATTTCCAACATTTCTGTAGCTTAGAGTGCTCACTTACTACCTCTAAACAATATCACCACCATAGTTTCTTTGGCCCTTATTTAATGTTTTTATGTAGTTATTTTGATTACATCTTGTAACACTGTAAACTCTTCATCCTCTATGTAATCTAATGTATATTTTAATCTTTTAATAAAATGACGTTGCCGCACGGCAACTTAAAATGACAAAAATAAAAAACATGAAAATGATAACAATATTAATACCGTGGGAAAATAGACGGGGAAGGGGAGGCTGGGGAGGGGGGGCAAGAAGATGTCGGTCTGTTGGCTTTTACGAGGGGGGTGCGATGAACGTTGTTGATAAATTAACACCAAACAGTGAAACTGTTGTAAATACTGAAGAAGAAAAAAGAAAAGAAAAAAAAAACATTTTGAATGTTGCTCATCTTGTTACGAAATCATGCAAAAAAAAAGAAAAAAATCACTATAAAAACTGTAATGCATAAAGGTTTCAGTATTCAGAACTGTAAATTTCCAGCTCTGTTCAACAGGGTTCAAGACTTCTTTTCTCTTTTTTCTATTGTATGTGATTCTGAAACTGAAAAGTCATGACAAATGATTTGTGGCAGTGATTCTAATGTATTAAAGATGTTTAGTGTTACTTTCTAACCAGACTACACCCTGGACTGAAAAGTCTTCCTTGTGGTAGTTGTGTAATTTCAAACATGAATAAACCTTTTGCTTTCATGACAACAGGGCGTGTGTGTTTTTTTGTTTTTTTTTAAGGGTTGTTGAGTGAGGAGGAGAAGCTTGGCACTTTTCTCCATCATAAACTGCCAGCAATGGACACATTTTAATGGAAGGAGGCTGCACCTGTCCATTGATATTAATTTCAGAGTCATTACAGTCATTTCTCTCCTCTCATCAATGATAAAACAACACCTTTTTTTGTGTGTGTTTTTAGGTAAAAGAATGCCTGAAAACAAACATAAAATCAGGGTAATTTTTCACATAATTTATTCATAATGCATGAATGTGCTTCTCACATGGTGGGTAGAGGGTGAGGACTTAACCTGGTTTGCAGCTACTGTGGAGCTGACATGGTTAGTGCAATTAACTGAAATGTCAGGCACTTCTAATTCAGGCTATTTTGTCTGTCTGTTGTGGAAAGGCTGGCTTAATGGATCATTGGTTACCAATTCCACATGGAAATTGACATCCATTTATTCTCATTTTCTCAGCAGAGTTCTTCATTCCTGTCTCCCTCCTAAGCTCGTGTCCAGCGTTTCCGTCTCTGTCATGGACCCCCCCCTCCCTGATTTCAGTGTAAATACCACCAGAACACAGTGTGTTAGGACGCTGCAGCAAGGAGAGGATATCACACATTGATGAGCAGCAAGTTTAAGGCTTTTGTGCGAGCGCATGCAAGCGTGCACACGTGGTTTTTTTTATTTATTTATTTGTTTCAGCGTATGAATGTAGACAGACAGGAAAAACAGAAAAAAAAGAGATGTAACAGCATAAGCACAAGTTTAATTCAAGCGCAATGCACAGACGGTTTCCCGGGAGAGCATATTTGTCCACTCAACCAGCACAGAACTTCATTGAACACCTTTCTCTGGAAATCATATCTTTATCCTGATGTGCCACAGATTACAAAATGCATAGAGACGCATTTTCCTTAGCAAAATAAATTTTAAAACAGTATTATTGACTTTGAGGTAAATCAAAAATGAAGCTAAATGGATTTTCCAAACTGAATTGCATACCACTATTGTTGTGCAATAGGGAGTTTTAATTCAACATTTGGTGCATCCACGTAGGCCGGTTTTCTCAATGGCCATTCTTTTCTAATACAATAGAGTGTGCATATGCATATCAATGTCCGCTCTCAGGAATTACGAAAGCATATGGAGTTCATTCCAGTGCGGCTGTACTCATTCTACCTTTACAAATACATACATTTGCTTCCTCAAGGCTTCAACTATTCGATTTTAAGTACTGCACTCAGCGAAATTGGTCTCAGAACCTTTTAAATAAAGAAGTTACATTTTCTGAGATTATGCCTATTAGAGGTTTTTCTAAGGTTCATTAAAGACGACATTTTCTAAGTAAAATTCACCATGAAAAGCATGCATCATTAAATATGGAAATCCAGAATTATATTAGCAATATAATATAGCAAGCTAGTGCCAATTAAATTAGAGAAAGATATCATTTATATTATTAAGGTAGAGTTCATATTAGATTAAATATAAAATGTAATTTTGTCACGGTTTGATTTATTGCTTATGGTGCATTGTTCACAGACCCATGTTATACTGTATTTCAATAGAGTGATTGTTTAGATTAAAATGTAAAAAGCTGTAATTGCATCACACTGTTGCTAAATTAAATTGGTAGGAGGTTCAAACAGAAATTCATAAGCTGGTGTATATCTATATTTCATTCCTAAATGTGACTCTACAAGCACACGAGCGCCCTGAAACATGAGCAGCGTTTGCAAGCATTATGTTGTTCACTTTAGGTTTGGTGGAATAATTAATACCTTCTGCAAGACTTAAGGATGTGATTTCAGTGAGTAAAATAAATCAGTCTGAGAGGAGTCCAAGACAATGAAACAGGCTGCAGCTTTGATCCTTGATCAAAGATTGCAGCAATATGAGGAAACATAGAAACCAGTTGTAATTCTTTGGAATTTATATTAGAAGACTTTCCCAGAAAGAGCGGTATTGTGAAACCTGATTTAAGTTAATAAATCACAATTTAATCATTTGAGGTGCATTTAGAAACTCAACAAACAACATACAGAATCAATAATTAAGCTCACCTGCGCCTGTCTTTACAGCTGTATCTGAGGCGTCAGGTGCAAATTGCGCCCAATGAAGGGATTTTAAGCAGATTAAGCAAATTCAGTGTTTACAGCCTCTGTGTTGTTTTATATTCTGAATCAGCAGCGACATCACAGAAGTAGACTCAGATTTCTTATGTGTGTATGTAAACTCACTCTACATTCAAAGCTTTAGGTGTCACATAGGTTAATATTATTATATTTGAACGAATTAGCTGACTGGTATGACAATATATTGGCAGCCTTTGACCTTCACCTCTTTGTTCATAACATATAACAGAACTGTAAGCAGGTACAAGGACATTATAAGTCTGTATGTATTCACTGAAAAATATCCCATCTCCACTTACATATTTTACATTATGATAACTGTTTTATTCTATTGTGATTCCTTGTTGTTATTCCTAAACTCTTGTTCAAACTTAACATTTGGCTGAAAATGTGTAATCAGGAGACTAAAGTAAAGCTTTATCTGAAAAAGTAGTTTTGAGCCAACTACTTAAAATAACACACATATTATTTGTCTTGCAAGACAGATAAAATGTGTATATTTCTTTGGGGGCATAACAATACTTTTCTTTTTGTCATCTACAAGCCCTGAGACTGGCTCTGTGCCTTTGAACATCTTTTTTTTTTTTTTTTAATTAAATGTGTTGCTTTTGTTTGTCTAAGCAGCTCGCATCATTAAAATAAGAGTTAATACAAAACTAGTATTGTTATAATTGTGCTATGATCCTCGTTTTTAAATTATCTTTATGTAATTGTAAATGTATGTGTAATAAAACCAGCCAATTAATTTAGTCTCCTTAATTATTTGCACCTTCAGTGTGTAACTATTGTCTCCCCCTTCTGGCAATGAGAGTAATTACATGAACACTGTCAACAGATGCTTTTGATGTATACCTATCTGTTGATTGTTTCAGTTTCTTAGACTTCTTCTGAACACCAAGTTTCTTTCTTGTCTAGAGAACCAGAAACATTTCTTGGATGTGTTCTCGATTGTTCCGCTATAGGCTCCGCCATGTTTGTAGTTGCTGTAGCTACACCCCATTGGTATTGTTGCTCCCCTCTTCATCTCTAGCTGACCAGTTATTGCTAGTTAATGTAACATCCATTGTCACCTGTACACCAGCATGTTTTTGTGCCCTCTGACACTGGATTGAAAAGTCTCTTGGGTAAACCGACAGATTTACCTGCCGCCCATAGGCCTTATTAGAATTGTTTGGCAGGGCCTTCAATGTAACATTCATTTATATGGAAACAAACCATAAAAACACATAGACTAGTTTAACCAAGGGTTTATATCAGCATATCCTTTATATGGTTTAAGGGTTTACCATAGTTTATTTAGATCCAGGATTTCCCTAAATTTGGATGTAAAATCTGGTTAACTTGCTAATCGCCACTCTTGGGTAATGATTCTGCTTCATTAGAACTTGCTTTGAGAGACGCTCACAAAGAGGTGTGAGCCCGAGAGTAGTGTACAGTAGTTTGATTTACTGAGCGGAGGTATAATGGGCCATACGCTGGCTGCACTGATCTCTTCAGCAGCACCGACTACTATTAAGAGATGAGTCCTGAGTGGCCTTTGAGCTTAAAACAGTGGAGTTAATTAACATTTGATCCTACCTCTCCCTACATCTTTAGAAGTTCATTTTCAATTTCATTTCAACCCGTTCACCCATTTTGGTGCTGCAAGATTGCTTTAAGATCGCATGTAGTCTGAACTGATGGTGGCTTATCATAGCTAGTTGGGCAAAAGCAGGCCCGTGAAGGCTTGTGACAGGAGACAGATGTTTGCCTTACCTCTTAGCAGACGCGCGTCAGCAAGCAAGGGCTGCCTTTGTGCTGCTCAAATACACTGACACCAAGTCAGAAAAAATAGAAAACAGCAAAAAAAAAAAGAGAAAAAAAAAGCATGAGCAGTATCTTTCTGAGTCACACACACACACACACACTACACACTGCAAATTCAATAATCACATCTTGTAACTTAATTTAATCAGCGGCTGCCTTTATCTGAGGGTTTGGACCTTTCAAATTTGACTTCATAGAGATGTCATTATTGAGCAAATTATGCCACAATTCGCTGAACTGCGTGACTTACGAAGCAGGTGCAAGTCACCAAGGCAGATGATAGATGCAGCATATGGTACAGAGCAGTTTCATATGAGGCATCGTAATGTAAAATTGATTGTGGTGACTGCTCTTAAATTCATTTGATCTATAGAGGTTGAGCATCTGCTTTTGATTAAACCTGGCCCTTTGTGGCCTCATTCATACATCATTTTTATTGTGATTTTAAGAAACATATTTGATGTATGCAACATTTCTGTAAATAAGCAAATGATTAAAGATTTGTTTTAGAGGCAGCATTTTAGAGGCAACCTGAAAACTCACCACAGTACTTGAAAATGTGCAAGTTAGAAGGAACACTTACGCAGATGCTTTCATCCTTGTACTGTGACTAGGACAACACATGTGCACACAACAGCAAAACAAACAAGAAATAGCAATGTTAAAAACATCCATCCATCCATCCATTGTCTTGTGCTTCTGCAGAGTCTGGTCATGAGGGCATTCCAGACATCCCTCTCCCCAGGAGTGTTTTCCAGTTCCTCTTGTGGGATTCCAAGGTGTGCCCAGGCCAGATGAGATATTTAATCATTCCACTGACTTCTGGGTCTACCCCAGGTCCTCCTCCCATTTGGCCCAGAAACCCTTGGGAAGAAGGCACCCAGGAGGCATCTTAATCACATGCCTGAATCAGCCCAGTTGGTTAGGGTCCCGATGTCTGAGCTCCTCGCCCCGTCTCTGAGGCTGAGCCCAGCCAACATAAGGAGAAAACATGTTCTGGCCACGTCAATCCGCAGTCTTGCCCTTTTG